CAGGGAGTGGCTCTGTGCTTCCCAAACCTTGAGGGCTTCCACCACCCCAGAGGTTCAATAGAATCACAGAATCATGGAATTGTTGAGGTTGGAAAAGCCCTCTAAGACCATCAAGTCCAACCATCCCCAGCACTGCCAAGGCCACCACTGACCCCTGTCCCCAAGTGCCACATCCACAGGGCTTTTAAATCCCTCCAGGAATGGGGATCCACCCCTGCCCTGGGCAGCTGTGCCAGGGATGGACAGCCCTTTCCATGGAGGAATTTTCCCCAATATCCAACCTGAGCTTCCCCTGGCACAGCTGGAGGCCGTTCCCTCTCCTCCTGTCCCTTGTTCCCTGGGAGCAGAGCCCGAATCCCCCCCGGCTCCCCCCTCCTGTCAGGGGGTTGCAGAGCCAGAAGGTCCCCCCAAGCCTCCTTTTCTCCAGGCTGAGCCCCCCCAGCTCCCTCAGCCCTCCTTCCCCAGCTCCCTTCCCTTCCCTGGCCAATCCTGTGCTGTGGCAGCACCAATGGAGCCACAGAACCACGGTGGAGAATCCCCTCCTACACCAGATCTCACTCTCAAATAATCTTATTTACACAGAGAGAAGGTGTGGCCTTTCCCATTCCCAGAAACATCAACACAGCTGAAGCCTGTGGTTCTTTGCAGATGAGGAATTCCTGGTGAAATCCTGGGGAAAATGCTCCTCTCTGGCTCTGCTGCAAAACCCAGGAAGAGAAGCTGCTGAGCTGTTCAATTAAAGTTCCTTTTTGGTGCTGTTAATTTTCCATTTTCCTCATCCTCAGTAATTAAGAGGAAAATAATGCTGTCCATGTGTTGGAGGACTTTGTCTTGTCCCTGGGGCCTGGGAGATGTGTTTCTCACAGAACTGACCATAGAAGTGATGCTGATATCCATCCATTGAGTCTTTCCAAAAGCATTGAACCCCCCTCCTGTGAGCAGCTCTCAAGCCCAGACAGGCTGATGCACGTTACTGGTGCTGTTTAGAAAATGAGTTATTGGTGGTGACCATTTTTTTCTCTCTTCCTTTTTTTTTTTCCCCCTGGAAAAGCTTTTTTGTTTGTGTTTTATCAGCTGTTGCTCCAAAGAGATGGTCCCAGCATTCCCTGTTCTCATAATATCATGGACAGGGTGTTTTAATACCAAATCTGTTGATTTTTGCAGTGTGTTTTTGTTCAGCTTTGTGGAAAGTGCCACGTGAATATCAAGGAGATGGAAACACCCACCCTCTCCTTTTCCCAGGCTGGAAAGTTTATGAACTCTTTTTTCTCTTCTCAGTCCATATGGAAACAAGAAGGATGTTTTGGGCTTAGTCTGGGGTGTTTCAATAACAGAAAAAGTACTTAATGCAGCTTAATTTTAATTAAATCTCATTGTCTTTGTTGTAACTTAGCAATATTGTTCCACTTCTGTGTTTATTTGTCTGGGTAACACGTCCACACTCTTTACTCAGAGTTTCTTCTCATTGCAAAGTTAGGATTTACTTCTTCCCCCTTTGTGCTGCATCCAGCACAGTGATCCCAGCCAGGAACCAGCCCTTCCACAGGGACACCTGGGAACACCAAAACTGGTGTGTTAATTAATGGATTAAAAGTACTGTTGTGCTTGTATTAAGAGTCCACCAGCAGATATCTGCATTCACAACTTTATATTTTATTAGTGATAAACCTCTCCAGCATCTTCTGCCTGTCCCTGCCCATCCCCAGGGCAAACATCCAGCAGCAGGATGGGGATTTTAAGCTGGGGTTGGACGAGCCCTGAAATGCTTCCAGCTCAAGCAGCTCGTCATTGATTGATTTGGGATTTGGAAAGCTCTGGAAGCAGCCAGGCTTTGTTGTGCTGGCTGTTCCTCCTGCAGGAAGCCCCGTTTCGGGAGCAGCCTCAGCAGCTCCAACCAACCTGGATCAATCAAAGCCAGGCTTTTGCTGAGGTGACTTCTTTGGTCCTCCCCCGCCCAGGGAAGTGCTCTGCAGAGCTCTTCCAAACATCAGCTCCTGGAAGTGCTTTTAAGTGGCCAGGAAGGGCTGACTGTGCTCCTGCACACACTAAAATAGAACAGAACCCGCGGAGCAGAGAGGGGCTGTCATGTCTTAGAATAAGTTATAGATTGGCAGAATTGTTAAGGTTGGAAAAGACCTCCAAGATGGTCAAGTCCAACCTTCAAGTTGTAAAGATCTTTGGGTGTGGTTGGATTGCAGCTCGATTCGGTCAAAATAAATCTCAGCTTTTAATGGCACTTTGTCAGTGAATAAAAATATTTGCTGGCATATTAATAATAATAGTAACATCAACAACAATATATTCACTGGCATCAGCATAATAATGAAGAAGAAGAAGAAGAAGAAAAAAAAGAAGAAGAAAAAAAAGAAGAAGAAAAAAAGAAGAAGAAGAAAAAAAGAAGAAGAAGAAAAAAAGAAGAAGAAGAAAAAAAGAAGAAAAAAGAAGAAGTAAAAAGAGGAAAAAAAGAAGGAAAAGAGAAGAAGAAAAAAGAGGAAAAAAACAAGAACAGAAGAAGAAGAAATAAAAGAAGAAACGAAGAAAAGAAAAAGAAATGAAGAGAAGAAGGAGAAGGAGAAAAGAAGAAAAAGAAGAATGACAACAACTGTGGGTCCTTCCAACCTGCCCCATTCTGGAGTTCTGTGCAATAATGACTGAAAATTTAAGGTATTTTAAGGGAATCTTCAGCATTAAATCCCTAAAGCAACTCGTGGTCTCAGTGCCTCTGTTGGTAGCAGTGGACGGTGCCCTCTGACCTCAGGGACCGACTGCTCTGGGCATTTATGGGATCAGTTAAATTGTTGTTAATTAGCAGTTTTATGTAGAGAATTGTCCTCCTGATACTTCCTGAATTGCTCCATTGTCCCTCTAATTAACCAGGACTCGGAAGGCCAAAGCTCTGCTTCAGCAGCAGAAGTTCTCACTGGAGCTCCAAAGGTTCACTGGAGCTCCAAAGGTTGGAATCCGGTGATTTAAAGTTCCCAAATACAAGCTGCAAATTGATTCACTGACTAACAGCACTTTCCACGTGTGTTTTAATATCTTCTTGCCTGGCTAAGCACCGAGGTGCCCAATGAATTGTTCCTGGGCAGCAGCAAACCGGGGAGGAGGAACAAAGTGGAGCAGGGAAGAGATAAATCCAATTTGGGCCGGGGAGTTTATTGAATCTCAATTGTGCCCAGTTGGCCCACGAGCGATGGGAGCAATCCATCTTGTGTGATAATGGAGGGGCCTGAAACCCACCTGATGTTTGCATTATTAAATTCCAGCCTAATGAGCTCTGCTAATACATATTGAAGGCAGTCGTAAGGAGCGGGATGGGAATGGGAGCGGGATAATTTGAGAGAAACATAAGCTGAGCATTTTACATGACTCAAGGGGTCCAGCTACAATTACACATATCACCCAAATTGAATTTAAATGGAATTTCTATTATCCCTGTCCTTTTACCAAGGAGAATAAAGTGTAAATGAAGTAAAAGTCTTTAGCTGTGGTTTGGTTTTATTATCTGATTTAATAGATTCTTGTAATGATCTTCGGTGGCAGAAAAGTTTTAATATTTCAGGGCTTTAAATGTTGTCTAAATATGTATAAAAGTGTGGAAGTGGGACCAGAAGTGTGTAACTGGAACCAGAACTCTGTGCAATGACTCCTGTTGTTTGTAACACCCTGTTCACGTTGTGCATTTTGAGGTGTAACCACTGGCTGAAAAAAGGTTGGAAAGACCCCTTCACGCCCCTCCTGATCTGAATTTGATTTTTAGAAATGATTGCTTGATTCGCTAGGTGGTGGGACTAAATCTTTGCAAAACTGGCCACCCTTTTGCCCTTTGTGCCCCAGTTTACAGTGATTTTATTGCCTGGTTTAAACCCTGAACTCCTGTTTTATTTTTGGTTCTTTTGGCCTGCTGATACTTTTGAAAACTTAATATTTCATCAAGTATAATGTTATTAGAGGCTTATTCTCACTTAGTTCACTCATCAGGCAGTGAGATGGCAATAAAAGAGAATGGCTCCTTTGAGACATTAATGCTTTGGAATAAATGATGTGCTAGAACAGAAATTTAATTAATTTACAGAGTATATTGATAGTCCCTTGTTACTGTGCTGTATATTTTTAATCTTCTTTAACATCTGTAGTAAAGTGTTTGAAAACCCCTGCAGTTGAGCAACTAGTAGATAATTAAGTAATAAGGGAAGGGGTTTCTAGAGGGAAAAGGATTCTTTTTAAGGAATATTGTTGTAACATGAGTAAAGGAGCACTGCTGTGATTTGGAGTGAAGAGAAAATTGTGTTCTGCCTAATAAAGTCCTGAGTGAGAGGGGTTTGACTCCTCTTCTAAATGCAGCTCTGCATCCCTGAAAATATTGTTTGCTTTGTGGTTTATCCCCGGAATAGGTCTCCTGGATTACTCACTATGGCAGCAAAGCTGCCACTCCACAAACGCTCCGTGTTCGGGTCGTTATCGGTCGCTTTGGGGGCAACTGGGGTGGGCAGGTCTGTGTTCAAAGCAAAAAAAAACCCTCTCAAAAGTCTCTCCAAAGTTTTACTGAACAAAAAATGAACGCAGGGATTTGAATTTAACTCATTTGCAACCGTTACTGCCCCAGTATTGACCCAATATTACCCTCCAGAGTCCCATTTATGCTGCTTCTTACCTGTAGGAAAATCTTTAAATAAACTGTGTGAAGGACAAAGTCCTTGTTCTCTCCTGCACGTGGATTTCCTTGTGGGACCCTGAAAAAGGAATCTGAAATTGGGTTTGAACCCTGGGAAATGTTGTTTGGCAACAGGTTGTTGGCAGCCCATCCCTGGGAGTGTCCAAGGCCAGGCTGGACGGGGCTTGGAGCAACCTGGGCTAGTGGAAGGTGTCCCTGCCCATGGCAAAGGGTGGCACTGGGTGGGTTTTGAGATCCTTCCAACCCAAACCACTCTGTGATTCTATGATTTTATAAGATAAATGAACTAATTGTAACATTTATGTCATTTTTCTTTTCCTTTTAGCTAAAGCAGACGAAGCCCTGAAGGCCAAGGAGAGAAGTGAAGAGGAAGCCAAGAGGAGAAAGGAAGAAGGTGAGGAATTTTTTTGCAACTCAGTGACAAACTAAAGCCCAGTAAGTCAGAGCTGATGGTTTTTAAGGGTCCCAGCTCCAGTGGGATGGTGGGATTTCCCTACAGCTGGCAGTTCATTTGGGTGTTCAGTCTGTGGGATGCCATGACATGAATTCACATGTTTCTTGCTGAAATTTGGTGCCCTCAAAGCTGGTGGGATCAGAGCTGTTCCCTTTGGAATGCAGCAGGTGGAATAACTAAACCAAATGGATTTTGCTTGTGTGTCAGGGAGAGATGGGAAGAGTCGTTTCCAACAGGGTGAGGGAGCCAAGGGAAACCATCCCAGGAGCCTCCAAATTCCTCACTTGAGCTGGGACAGAATCCCTGAGGAAATATCCCAGTTGTTCAGATTGCAATGAATCCTTTCAATGTGACTTCCACGAGTTTCTGTTTGACTCAAACACACAGAAATACAGGGAAGGGCTTCCCTTCCTGGCTGTGTTTCCAGTGTCCATGGGAATGTTCCTGATACTCCCTGTCCTCTGCTCCTTGCACATTCCAGTGCTCTCCAGGAGAGCTGGAGAGGGACTTTGGAGTGGCAGGACACAGGGAATGGCTTTCTACTGCCAGAGGGCAGGGTGAGATGAGATATTGGGAAGGAATTCTTCCCTGTGAGGGTGGTGAGGCCCTGGCACAGGTTGCCCAGAGAAGCTGTGGCTGCCCCTGGATCCCTGGAAGTGTCCAAGGCCAGGTTGGACGGGGCTTGGAGCAACCTGGGCTGGTGGAAGGTGTCCCTGCCCATGGCAGGGAGTGGGACTGGATGGGCTTTAAGGTCCTTCCAACCCAAACCATCCTGTGATTCCATGATTTCCTTACGAGAGGTAACTCAGGAAAATTCCCTGTCTGAATCCGTGGCTGCCATGAATTTCATTCCACATCAAAATGTTCTGATCATTCAGGAGTTTGACTTTGGGCCTGTGGGATGCTGAGGGGGATTAATTGGTGCTCAAAGTTGATCCTACTTGGAGAAGGTACTTAGGATACTGAAGGCAAGTGGAAAAGTGGGATATCCCAGACGTGTCTTGGAAAGAAGAGGAAGGGGCACTTGGAATTCTGGCTGGAAAAGGGACCAAACCAACCAGCTGTGCCCCCTCCCCACTGTAATTCCTGGATTTTGGAGCCATCCAGCTGTGCTGGGCCCATGGAGAAGCCTCCACCTGCAGGAATCCCGGAGCCAGGCTCCGGCTGTCAGGATGAGGTCCTTGGGTGCCAATGGCACGAATTTGCAGGGAATATTTGGAAAAGAACGTGTTTTTTCCCCTTCCATCCCATTGTGAGTGACACATGTGGTAGTAATTGCTCTGCCAACAGGGGGAGGGAAGTGGGAGTATGGAGAGGCAGAGGGAAGAAAAAAGGGGCGGTTTGTGACTTGGGAACAATGGGAATTTACAGGGAAACGGGAGGAATTCTTTTCAGTTTATTAATAAGCCCCATAAAAACTGTCCTGTGGTGGCTTTGAGGGAGTTGTGAGTGTTTTAAAATGAATAGAAAATGATTGCTGAAGAGAAGCTTCTTCCCTCAAATTCATCAGTTGGCTGAGGAATTAGTTCCCAACCAGGAGCAAAGTGGTGCATTTTCCGTGGAAAATAAAAGGTCTAATTAAATTGTGCATGAAGAGTTTAAGCATCCCAAGCCCATGCAAGACATCCAGGAGAATTGCACCCTGGGAAACTCCAGTTTTAGGGAAGTTTATGTCCCATATGGATTTAAAATTCCAGTTGCAGGCAGGTTTATGTCCCGTATGGATTTGCAAACAGGACATTTTTCCTGTGTGTTCCCTTCCCCATCCCGTCCATGCTGGGCCCCAGTGGCAATTTTTTCTTGAAAAAAAGAGATTTTTGCCGTTTTTTCTTAGTTCTTCTTTCCTCACAGAACATCTGTGGGTGGGTTTGAACCCTCTTGGAACCACAGGATCCCTGAGGTTGGAAAAGCCCTCCAAGGCCATTGAGTCCAACCTGTGACTGATCCCCACCTTGTCACCCATCTTTGACTTTTTTAATTAATTCACCTATTTCATTAAGGGCATAATTGTCCATTGGGATTCCCTGCCTACTCTCCCAAGCCCTTCTGCTTGGAATAATGCCAATAAATAAGGAAATAATGAGGAAGTGGGAAGGAATGTCCAGCTGCAGTTGACCTGTGTTTTGACCTGATACACCTTATTCTGTCTGTGCATCTTCAAGCAACAGTGTTGGCCTGAAATATCCACAGGGTCATCAGTAAATTGTTGTAAACCTTTTTCAGAGGTCATTTAAAAAAAAAAAAAATCTCAATAATTTTGGTTGGAAAAGAGCTCTGAGATCACCAGGTCCAATTTTTGACCGGTCATCACCTGGTCAACCAGACCAGAGCTCTGAGTGCCACGTCCAGTTGCTAAAATAAAGTAGAGTAAAATAAAATAAAATAAAGTCTTTTCGTAAAAAATTCTAAATTACGATTTTTAAAAAAATTTTTGACTTCCCTAAAATCCCTCATTTTATTTTCTTAAATCCAACTCCTCAAAAGGAACTTCCAGCCTGCGTGGGCAGCGAGTTCCTGTGATTCCTCTTCAACCTCTACTGAGGAACTGCAATGAAAATAATTGTACAAACGAAACAATCCTTCCCCACCCCATAAAAAGTGGTTTTCTCCCTCACCCCGTGGCGAGGGTGTCTTAACATTCCTTTTATTGTCACTTTATTGGCGAATCAGGGCTGAGATTAGATGGGGGATGTTCCCTGTAATCTGCTCGGAAATCAAATTATTTGACCTCCCAGCCCAGCTCTGCCCCTTCCCGCTGGTTCCCTGTTAAATATGCAGCATTTCCCTGGCATGAATAAAAAATTGAGGACAAATTAGAATCTGCAGCCAGCTGACCCCAGCCCAGATTAGAGACTGGGGGGCTTGTGCTGCTTTAAATGTTTTAATTACCGTCGCTCGAAGGCCACGCGGCAAAATGCTGATTTATTTTTTTTTTTTTTTTAGGGACAAAAAAAGCAAAGCAAGAAAGAAAAAGGGCTCCCTCGGCCTCATTTGAATTTTTCAGTTTGATTACATTTGCACTTCCATGGGGGTTATGTTAATTTGCTGCATGAAATTAGGTCTATTAGCCAAAAATGTGACTTTTTCCGGGAGCGTTTTCGAGGGTTGGATTGTTCCTACTTGGGTTTTGGTGCCTCGGGTTGGGAGTGCCTGGAAAACATCAAAATCTAAAGGGGATTTACCCACCAGACTCGATTTTTCACTCCAGACAAATTCCAAGTGGCTGAAGTGGGTGATGGAAAAATTGGAATAAAACCCACCACGAGCCAGGATGGAAAAATCCAAAGCGAGTCCTGTCTGGATGTAAAATTCCAGTTGTAGATGGGTTTATGTCCCATATGGATTGAAAATTCCAGTTGTAGGTAGGTTTGTGTCGCATATGGATTGAAAATTCCAGTTGTAGGTGGGTTTATATCCCATATAAATTGAAAATTCCAGTTGTAGGTAACTTTGTGTCACATATGGATTGAAAGTTCCAGTTGTAGGTAAGTTTGTGTCCCATATGGATTCAAAGTTCCAGTTGTAGGTGGCTTTATATCCCATATAAATTGAAAATTCCAGTTGTAGGTAACTTTGTGTTGCATATGGATTGAAAGTTCCAGTTGTAGGTGGGTTTGTGTCCCATTTGGATTTAAAGTTCCAGTTGTAGGTGGGTTTGTGTCCCATTTGGATTTAAAATTCCAGTTGTAGGTAGGTTTCTGTTGCATATGGATTTAAAATTCCAGTTGTAGGTGGGTTTAGGTCCCATATGGATTGAAAATTCCAGTTGTAGGTGGGTTTGTGTCCAATATGGATTTAAAATTCCAGTTTTAGTCAAAATTCCAGTTTTTGGTCGACATTAGGGAGAGATTTTGGGCTTGTTTTTCTTAGTGTCCCATGAATAATAATAGTTCTAAATATTCCATGGAAACTGTCAGGGGCACATTCCCAGTGCCATGTGGGGAGGAGGAGCTGGACACGTACCAGAAAACAAGGAAAAGAAGTTTTCCCAGAAAACCAGCAGTGCTAAATGGGACTTTTTGGCAGCCAGGCCCTGGGTGAGTGGCTGGGAGGGTGATGCTGTGCCAGGGGCTGGGGGTGTGTTATCCCGGTGCCTTTCCCTTGGAATTTGCATTCCCCTTCCCGGCGCGTGCCGGCCCAGGGTTGAATTGATTCGTTCTTCCTCCCCTGTAGGCACTGCAACATTTTGATAGACTCTGGGGAAATAAATTTGGCAGCAAAATCAGCACGAGGAGATTTAATTATCACTCGGAGACCTTTCCCTTTTCTGGCTTAGTGATCCCAAAAGCCCCGCGCGTTTCCCTGGAATCGGCACCGACGCCGAGCGGCGCTTCCCGATTCGTCCCCCTCGCTCGATGATAAGCCAGGCAATTACCGGGTTATTGATTTTTCATCAGGGCAAATTTAAAGTTGATTTTTGCCTGCGAGGGGGGGCGGGTGATGAAGCGTTTCCCGGCGGTTCAGTCCCGGAGAGCTGCGGCACAATCCAATATCCCGAGGTCGGGCCCCGCTCCCAGATAATGCGGCGGCTGGGCCGCGTGCTGGGGAGAGGAATGAGGGCTACAAATGCGAGGGGATATGTGTGGAGACAGTTTAATTTGTTCCATTTATGTGAACAAGTCGTGTGGCACATGCTTGGAAAATAGCATTTGGAATGGGCCTGGCGATGGAGCCACGTGGGCAGGGAGGGAGGGGATGCGCCGGAGACACAGCTGGGCCTGGAGCAGGGAATAAAGCCCAGCCTGGGGGGTTATTCCCAGATTTTACTGAGCTGAACATGCTGCTGTGGGGGCTTTCCTTTAGCAGACTTAAACTCTTCAGGTCTGAAGAATCCCAGAATTCCAAACTGGGCTGGAAGGACATCAAAGCCCATCCAGTGCCAACCCCTGCCACGGGCAGGGACACCTTCCACTGTCCCATAGCCTTGGACACTTCCAGGG